TTGAAAGATAGGGACTTATGTCTCAAAAGCGTAACGAGGGGGACTGACGTCGAAAAATCCGAAATTCAGCGTTACGTTCCTCATGTACACCTCTGGAGAGAATATGAGGGTTGTCTGAATGGTTTCTCAAATATTTCCTAATATCTTCAGGTTTCTTAAACGAATATTTCCCCATGACAAAAGTAACTACTTCGCTCAAGAATCTTATTAAAATACTAGCCGTTCAAATCAGCCTCTCTTAAAATATTAACGTCTTCATGCATCAAGCAACGTGCATTTGCCGGTATGCCTATCTTTCTGCCGCTGCGTTAAAGTCTCTGAAATGATTCCTGCATTTCGCCGTCTCGGCAATCTCTTATGTGGTTCAGTATGAGCTTTCTCGGCAGCTGAAAAGGTGAGAGAATTCTGTTATTGTATCATCTACAAAACGAAGTATTGTCATTCATGCCGTGCTGAGGGAGGGGGGGGATTGACGCGCGAAACTTCGAATGTTGCCAAAATCAATGCAAAAAATCGATGTCCAAAGTGTGAAACCACGTTTCTCCCATAGAGAAAAAAAAGGAGGCGTTTGCATTTCGGACATATATTGGACTCAAACTGCATATTAGATGCTTCAAAAATTAAAAAAATTCCTGGGGGAGGCCCTCGGACCCCCCCCCCCCCNCCCCCCCCCCTCGTTTGAGGTGTCTGAATCCGCCTATGTGATGATGATACGACGTTTTTCCTCAGCGCAGCAGTGAGTTGCTCTCAGTCGGATCCCACCATCACTGCCGTGCTAAGGAGGAACGCCGTAAAAACATTCGAGAGTTGCCAAATTTACCTTAATAAAACATGTATTTTTGACACCATTCATGCATATTTTTCCTAGAAATTTTGAGATATTTTAGATTTAATTGCGTACAAAACGGTCTGAAAATTTGGGGACTCTAATATTCACAATTTTCCCAGTAAATTCGGTTTTTATCGGAGGAAACTTGGCAACGTCTGAAGGCTAATACGGCGTTCTTCCTTAGCGCAGCAGTGTTGCTCTCATCCGGATCCCACCATTACTGCCGTATTAAGGAAGAACGCCGTAAAAACATTCGAGAGTTGCCAAATTTTCCTTAATAAAACATGTCTTTTTGACACCATTCATGCATATTTTTCCTTGAAATTTTGAGATATATTAGATTTAATTCCGTAAAAAATTGTCTGAAAATTTGGAGAAATAACATATATTCACAATTTTCCCAGTAAATTCGGTGTTTATCGGAGGAAACTTGGCAACGTCTAAAGGCCCATACGGCGTTCTTCCCTAGCGCGGCGGTGTCGCTCTCAGCCGGATCCCACCATTACTCCCTAGGTTCATTCCAAAGACGATCCGGAGGAAAGGGGGGGAGAGGACGGGGGGAGGGGGCAGAGCCTGAAGGAGAGCAAAATCGGTGGCCTGAGGATGGTGGCGGACGGGTGTTCACGATGACCACGACATAATAACCGGTGTTGGTGTCGACGGTGGTGTCCGTGCTCGGTAACACGAGGATCATGACGTTGCCGGAGGCGTAACTCCCTTCCTGCGTGAGCCCTGTAGAGCGTTGAGCATTGCGGGAAACAGGGCTCATCTCGAGGGGCAGTTAAGCCCTTTCTGCACCGGAGCGAGGATGAGAGGTGTTGGGCCCGGCGCATGGCTCACGGCGCACTGAGGATCGCACGGTGCGGTGGAAAGATGAGTGGTTGCACGTAGTGTGTCGGCCAACTTTGCGGCGAGAACGGAACGCTATACGTACGAACGGGGATTCCTTTGCGCTTTGTTTGACCACAACCGCAGAGCTCTTGGTCGACGACGTCGTGTCGAAGACAAAGTGGATGTCAATGAGCAAGCGAAACTTACGGACCGATATGAACAACGGTGTACGTTTGCACTAAATTAAATAAAACAAAAATTTTAGTGTATCCCAAAATCGTTTGACGTGCATAAGGAGACCACAGATATGATGTTCTGTGCAAATTTCAAATCAAATCGAACAGACAGATTCTGAGATATCGCTGTACACAGATCTGGGGGACGTCGGACGGACGGACACACATTTTTTCAAGTATGGTTATTTTGACTTCTGGGACCTTAGAACGTCTAGAAATGATGAAATTTCAACTTTTTTTCCCTCTTGGAGGATGACAATACTTCCTCTCTACCCTAGGGGAGCGGGAAAGTAAAAATCCACGTGGGGGGCTTGGCGGAGAAGGCGCATAAGATGTAGTTTTTGCTATTTCGAAAATATGCGTTTGAAGTATAGAAATCACATGGATCTGAATGGCGGAGAGGAACTTCAAACTGACTTTTTGATGCTGAAAATTTGGGGGGGGGGCAAATTTTTCACAGAATACACATTAAGACTTACTTTACTCGAAATTCTCTCTATTCTAATAAAATAATTTTTAAGACATTCGATGGACGTGGTGAGGAAGGGGAGTAAGCTGGTCGATGGGCTGAAGTTCAAAGTCGGTCAGTGAGAAAATTCTAATAAAATCATTTCTAAGACCCTCGATTGACCGGGTGAGGGAGGGAAATAAGAAAAACCAAGTGGCCTTTGGGGGCGAGCAGCGTCCCGGGGGTCGAGCCGACCTCCTTTCATAAAGATCTCCATTTTTTCAAAAACTGCACTTGTACGCCTTGTCCTCGAGGCCCTCGCGTGAAAGACGCAAATCCTGCTCGCAAAAAGGCCGTATTAGGAATGTCAACGCAGAAATGGTGAAAATAAAAAGCTATTTCGCTTTCGAAGGAGGTCTCAATCAGCGTAAGCGCTAAATGGAGCACAAGTGATGGGCCGAGTACGTAAAATTGAAAAAATGCAAACTGCCAGGAATCTAGTTCGGGTGATTGTTCACTCGGTTCTGTTGGCATGGATTTCGCTTCTCGAGCCCTAATTGCCAATATCTCGCCGATACGTTGATACACAGATACGCATCTGCCGCCTAAGAGTTCATAAATTGATGAGAATTTAAGATGATAGAATTTGATTACGTACCGTTGGATTTAACGACATTTCGAGGACATGGATGTGGTCACACGAGATCTCAGGCTCACTGCCAGATTGGTCTTTAATCTAGTTTTGCCCATAGATTCCGGTCAGTAACGAGGAGTTCTGTATTCTTCCCACTTTGCAAGGGGCCTGAGTCCGTCATTTAAACTTTTATATTTAAATGCAACAGGGTAGCTCTGTCTCCTTTACGTTAACACATCCAAGAGAAATATTGAAATTATGGTCGGGTATGATGGACTCCAAGAATGAGTGTGATAAATTTATGAAGCGACCCACTTTTAGGATTGGAAGTAATTGGGAGTTTTTATGCTGAACGATATGTGTACGCTTACGCATGAATAAAATCGAAAAAAACTTTATATATAGAACTCATGGGCTTTTTAGATCTTCCGCTTTAATTCATTGCTCCACTAATAATATTTAATTACTTAATTCAGCATAGATATTTCCAATTTTTCTTGGAATTGTGCTCCTTTCAATTTTGAGTGGAACCAATAATCAGTTGTAATAAAAGACAATTTTTTCTGTGTCGAATGAAATCTGCGAGTGACCTTTGAAAATTGAAGAATTTTACGAATTATATGTGCGAATAATGGAGATCTCACAAAAGTTCGAGTTTCCAGCTTTTCAAAATAAAGAATAAAGGAAATAAATATGTAGTATGTATGTAGGTATGTAAAAATATTCTACTTCCTCTTCTTCTTTCACTTCTCCTTCTTAACCTCCGTCTCCTCAGTCATTTCCTCTTTCTTCTTTCCTTCTTCTTCATTCTCCTTCTCTCTTATCCTTCTCATTTCGATCTATTATCCCCACGTTAGGAGTTCCAAGAAATGGCAAATGTGTTTTCTTTCAAAACTCCCATGTAAAGGTTTAGATGACCCGAATCTGTCAGGCTAAGGTCAAAAAAAAGGGGAGAAAGAAAAAAATTGGCACCATTTTGCACGGAGAAGTACGTTAAGACATAGGAGGATCCATGTGCCAATCTGTAGAGCAAACCGTTGCATAATCTATAGATCCAGTTGCCCGATAAAGGGAAGTCGCTGAAAATGGGCGTTTCTCAATAATTTCTGTGAACCCGGCGAGCTGCCGTAAGGGCCTATCATCGCTAATAGTATTCGATGGTGTGCGCGCTGCTACCGTGCAACGATCCGCCCCGTTATTATACGCTACATCACCCGGAAGCTCCGGGCTCTAACCCCGGCAGGACTCCAGCCAACACTGCCGCAACCTAACAAACGACTTTTTCGTCTTTCTCGTCAATCTCCAAGCAAACATATTCTCCATGTTTTAGCATAATTTTCACTTTTCCCGGCACATAGATTGTCAACTCTTTCTTGACACGCACACACTGAAAAAACGTATGGTTAAATCCACTATAAGCCTACTTGATTTTTTTCCATAGTGATACTATTTAGTGAAAATAACCAGAATCATAGTAGTATTCACAGTAGTATTCGGCAGATGATAGGTTGCCTAAGAAGGTACTAGATTGGGTTCCTCCTGGGAGAAGACGTAGGGGACGTCCAGCAAACTCGTGGATAGGTGGCATTCAAGATGAAATTACAAGATGCCATTTACCAGATGACCTCTGGATCGATAGGCAAGGATGGCGATTAGGTGTCGCAGAGCGCCCGGGCGCGCTGTAAAGCGACTCGAATGTATGTATGTAGTAGTATTCACCAGAACTCTGGTGATACTTACCATTTTATGGTCAATGCATGCTACCATAGAGTCTGGTGTTCATTACTATACTCGGACCACCGTGTTACATTATGGTAAAATCTACCAATTTTTTTTTGGTGCGCGTCATGGTGTGGTCAGAGACTTACAATATATACTTTTGAACACTGAAGGCATCACAGAGTGTAACTGACAATAATTGCCGTCGAAATTCCATAATAGAGAATACATACCTATAAGTAGCTATAGCACTCTCGTGTCACAGAGTCGGAGAACTCACCGAGTATGATTTTATTTTTGCAGGTCGAGCAGCTTTTGAAAAACTAACAGAGTTGGATTACAGGGGAAATACCTACTATACGGTGAAAAACCTTTCATTGTACGAGTGTCAAGGCTGGTGCAGGGAGGAGCCTGATTGCCAAGCTGCATCCTTCAGGTAACCAACTTCATACGCCTCAAGTCTTCCTTGGCATGCGAAAAAAAATACCTACCGAAGCGTAAGCTTGGAAACCTCGTATTTTCGTCTGCGCCATTACAGACATCCAATCATACTCTATTCTTCATTCTTGGAAGTCAATCAACTTACTTTGTCTAAAATTTCCATAATTTTTTCTCTTAGTTTGAAGAATTTTTTTTTACATTTTGAGCGAACAAGTTGGAATGTTTTCCGTGTAAAAAAACAAACGGGGTTGGAAATTTTTTTTGGCACACTACATTCAAGATATGTTGTTTCGAAGTCTGGCCTTATTATATTTTCACGAGCGACGGAAAATATGGCACACAAGTGTCGAGAGATCATAGAATAGTGTTGGGATTGTAGCACGTTATAACCAACATTGTAATGCAGTCAAAGAGAACTGCGAAAGGCTGAACATAATCAAAGTAGGTACATCAATTGAGGGGCTTGAAGAATAAGGCGCATAAGTGCATTTTTTGCTATTTCGAGAAATAAGTGTTTGAAGTTTCGAAATTACATGGATCCTCATGGCAGAGATAAAGTTCAAATTGACTTTTTGATGCTTAAAAATCGGAATTTGTTAGCAATTTTTTTACAGTTTATGCCGTAAGACCAGTTTTTCTTGAAATTATAAATATCTTAATTTTTCATAAACTGCACTCATGCGCCCTCTCCTTTATGCTTCTCAATTATATCTGTCCCTCCCCCTCTCTGAGCTGAATGTCATATATTCCAGCTTGACACTGCTTTTTAGTCATTGTTAATAATCTTTGTGTTCTGTAGCCGCAACGAGGAAAAATTTAATCGGGCTAAAATTGCATATTCTCCGTGAAAAATGCAGTTATGTATAATTTGAGAATGGAACGAGAGTAACTATATCTTTCACGACCCATTTAACTTTACTCGTCTTCCTATTTATCCCTTATATTATAGTTTTTTGGTAAGGCTTTTCGAAAAAGCTAGTCATAACTCAGAAATGCTCACTATTTCATAGACCTAAGACACAGAGCCGTAGAATTGAGTTGTGTGATAAGTGCTCCAAATTTTGAAAATTGCGTCACGCACAAGAAGTCTTTTTGCAGGAGCCTTAAAAACATTTAACTACCTTTGGTTCTAAAAAGAGTTGCCTCTGTTTTTCACCGACGCTATATACAACTCTAACTCCTATGTTTCCAAGGCGTCTACACTGAAAAAAAAAGATCGGTAGAATTTTCCATTCCTTCACGCTGTATTTTTCACAGCGTGAATTCAAAGTCGATTCTGCCAGAGGAATGGTTACCTGTACCAGTATAGAGTACCTTTTGTCTGGCAGAATTGACTCTGAATTGACGCTGTGTCAAATACAGTGTTAAGAAATGGTAAATTCTAGCAATTTTTTTTCAGTGTAGTTTATTGTTACCGCGAGTGCCTGAACTGGTATTCCCTTTTTGAAAACCAGTGGTATAATGTATGATGGTATTTATTATTATTCCCTGTTTATTACAGTTTTGTTCTGAATCCTTTAACTCCGGTTCAAGAAACTTTGTGCCAATTGCAAAACGAGACGTCGGCGAACAATCCAGCGGCGACGCCCCAGCGTTCAGTCAACCTCTATTACATGGTCAAAATTCAGATTAGATCAGGTGAGTCTGTAGACCTATTGGGAGGTCAGCAGCCCGGCACTGACCTCCAACATTTTTTAACTTCCTCCTAACATGTGATTACCTGCTTATCCTAGGTGGTTTTAACCCTTTCAGTCACCGGTCATATAGTGAAGATGAAAGGTCGTTTCCATGGAGTCTTATGAAGAATCGAAAAAGTATAATCGGGTCTTAAATTACTACAAATGGTCTTCAACGCCAAAATTCTTCATCAAAAACTGTGGTCAAGCAAAACCGAACTTTTGTGACTGTATGGATTCAGATAACGCACACATGAGTACATAGTTGTGATGTCCACAAAAAAGAACATTAGTTCACGAAGGAAACATTTTAAACAGAGTAACTATTAGCTTGGGTCGAAATTGAATTTTTGGATTCAGACAGAAAACTAATTTTAGTGACCTAATGCGAAAATTGCAAGCTGTTCAGTCCATATTTTTTCTCTCTCTAATAAAGGACTTAAAGTTAAATTAAAATTGGCAATTTCGGACCATGCAGATCGGAGATAAATAGTGTTTCCTTATTGCAAAATGTAATCCACTTGACGACAAAAGCTGCAAGATTAAGGGTGGATGGGATGAATTTTTTTTATGACAGGCAATTGTGTTAGGTCTAGTGGATACCATTAAAAAGTAGCAAGTGGTTTTAGGGACCAATCATGTCTAAAAAGTCGAGCGAAAACATTTTTAAGCTTCATACAGCAACAGCTCATCAAAGAAAGCTAAAGCTGAAAGCTAAATGTGAGATTGAAAATAAAATACGCTCTATTCTATTTCAGAAAATGTCTGCTTGAGACCATGGGCCTTTGAGCGGGTACCGAATAAAATGATTCGTGGACTTGATAATGCTTTGATCTACACGTCGACCAAAGAAGCCTGTTTAGCCGCGTGTCTTAACGAGGTAAGTTCCCTTAATCGCTCTTTCTGAACTAGATTAGTAGAAATGAAATTTCCAATCGTTTTTTCCCGGTCTGACTATCCTCCTCCTCATAATATTTCTTCTTCTTCTATCATTTCTTCTTCTTCTTCTTTTTTCTCTTTTCCTTCTCCTTCTTCTTCCTCTTCTTCTCCCTCTTCTCCTCGAAAAAACCGCTATTTCGGATGTTCCAGTCAGGTTGTGGTTGTCATGACAGAGACTCCATTGGGAGAACGAGAATTCTAGGTGTCTTAAAAGAAAGCCGGCGTGAAAAATATAAAAAGATACATTTTTCTCAGAACAGGAAGAATATTCAAATCTTAGCCGGAGGGCCCCAGTGAGTGGGGAGTTAAGTCAGCAAGCTAACCGACATCGGCGAATCCTGGCAAAAGAAAATTGGGGCAAGGTCCGAGACATTATGAGCGAGTAAGGCAGCGCGGCGCATACCGCGGGAAGATGGAAAGTTGTTCCGTACCGCTGTGAGATGTGCTGAAGAAGGAATAACCACGCAACTCAAATATAAATCCCTCGTAGATGAGTGAGTTCTGCCTAGCAGTACGGAGTTGCTCTAAATAAGTATTTATAGGAATGCCACGACCGGCATTGTGTCATGGCTTCAAGTCGGAATTTCAACGCCGTCCGGCTTTCAGAGTTATTATGCGCAAAATATCCAGACCCACTTCCATTCTTGGAGATACCTCCATCACAGCCCGGAGGATTACGGCTGCGCCGCGTCAAGGAGCGTTTCCGACGAGGAAATCTGAGTTTGTCCGGTAGAGGGCTGTACATAAATTAATAGTTTGTTTTAGAAATGGCATAACTCAAGCAGGAGGTGATTTTCTTATTTATTTATTTATTTATTTTTTTTTTGGGGGGGGGGCGGCAAATAAGTATATCGACGGTGTAAGTCGGCAATCACATAACTCGTTTGCGGTGTCTGAAAATCTCCGTCTCTATGTTATTTTCTTAAGGAAGAACAAATTGACATCATTCCTTTAAGTTTTTGCAGAATTTTCTTCGCATAGAGAAGAAAAATCACTGCAGTTTTGAAGAATAGCCATTGAGTAGTTTTCCGTTTAAAAAATAAAGTATGATAGGAAGTCTGCGACGTCGCAAATCGAGTTATGTGATTGCTGACTTGCACCGTCGATATGTCAGTATAGCCCATAGCGGCGAATTTTTGGTGAACGAAAAATTACAAAACACGGCGGCGGTTTCTGAAAGTAATGATTTTTTTGGCTTTTCATGTATTTACTGTCATCACTGCCTGAATTCACGGACTGTCGTCAGTCCAGAGCGATAAAGTCTTCAGCACAATCTCGCAACAATGGTGTTATAATACGAAATATAACGTGTTTACACGCTGCACCCAAGATAGACTTAAACGCAGGGATGAGAATGTAGCCGATTTTTGCTCGGGCTCCGAGAAAATATTTCAGAGAGATGAGACAATGATAACTTTTATGTTTGGTCCAAGTTTTATTGCATGTAAATGAGGGTAAACGAATGAGATTTGTAGATATGTATGCAGTGTTGACCGATGGGCCTTTAAAATCGTGCAGTTATTTCCTTATTTTTTTCTTCACCACTTGTGGACGGAATCCAGTTGAACGTATTAAAGCTAAAAGAAACCATATGTGAGTAAATTAAAGCAAAACGAATTATGCAAGTGGGGTTTGCGTGCTTGTTGCAAGCCGAGCTACGCATTTCTCCAGTTTCGCCATCGATATGTTAGCAGTCCCAAAGTTTGCGTTTATGTCTTTTTCGAAATGCACAATGAAGATAGACTTTACTTGCTTTAGATGCGTCCAAATGTGTCTCAGAATATTTTTTGAATACAGATGCTGATGTGATTGTTTTAAAATGTTTCTAGCACCGTTTCACGTGCAGATCAGTCGAATATAACTACGTGACGCTGCAATGTCATCTCAGCGACTCGGATAGGCGGACCACCGGTCAGTACGTGCAGTTTGTGGACGCACAAGGCATTGACTACTTCGAGAATCTCTGCCTGAAAGGGAATCAGGCCTGCAAGTCCACCCGCGTTTTCCAGGTGCCTAGGATAGGGGTGACAGAGGACAAGGTCGCTCAGTATGCAAGTTTGCATTACTACGTGGACAAAGAACTTCAGGTGAGTTTTACAGTTAATTCAACCCAGACGCGGATCCAGCAATTTTTCAACATCGGATTTCCTCCATACAAGCCTAGGTTAAATAATCGATTCTTGTCAGAGCATCTGGCCCCTTCAAGAATCGATACATTTCCATAAGGTTAAATGGAGAAAAAACAATGTTGCCAAGTTGCTGGATCCGCCAATGATTCAACTTCGTTTCAACGACTTGATCTTTCTGCTCTAGTGTCAGAAACGCATCATTACTCGTGGCGAATCCTCCATTGCACATAAATTTGTCTAAATTTTTAAGAGAAATTGGACAACTTTTTCTAAAATCGGAGCAGAATCTACGTGGAATCGGAGCGATGAAGCATTATAGATCTGAGGTTTTAGACCTCTGTATGGTTCCATGGTATAAAAACACAAATTTCAAGTTGCAAAAACGTTTTCTTTTGAATTTTTTTTGCGGATCTTAAAGTTTTGGCAGGAGTAGGTATTATTCCAAACGGATTCAAAATTATCTTCGACTTAAGTTTTTTTTTTTTTTTTTTTTTTTTTTTTTTTTTTTTTTTTTTTTTTAAGAGAAAAAAGAAATAAAAATTTACATCTTTGTCTCCAGCATAATAAACGCCACCCATAAATCGTCACCCTCCGGCCAAAGTATCACAAGCGCCATGACGTTTAACAATTCGCACCGCCATTTTATTTTTCTACAGGGAAATAGTTCAACGAAGCTGTCCGAAAATCTCACTGAATTTTTTTGCGCTGCCGATAAAAATCGGTGAAATTTTCAAACATATTCAAACAAAAAATTTTCTGCAAAAAAATGAGATGGCGGCGGAAATTTTGAAAGGCCGCGTGGCGCTTGTGAGAATTTGGTCTGAAGGTAACAAAACGAAGTACGCCCGCGCAAAGAGGAACCGAAGTTTGTTCGATCCATTATCTCTAAAGTGATATTTTTTAACGAGGGGCAAAGGTAAAGGGAGCCGGATAATTTTAGATTTTTATTCATATACTTTTAACGTAGAAAGCAAGTGGTTATAAGTGTTGAGATCAAAAGTTTCTGAACGAGGCGGACCTAGAGGCTCCGTAAATTCTTACCTCCTTCCCATTTTCTCTTCTTTTTCTTACTTTTTATAGAGTTTGAGAGTGCATAATAAAACTCTGAAATAAGGCCACCGAGAGAGGCGGAATAATCACAAACTGCAAAGAAATTAAAATGCTTCTTGACAATTGCGTTCCTTTACTTTTTGATACAATGAAAAAAAAATCAAAGGAAAGTAATGGCCTCATAAATTCAGGAATGAATATTTTCAGGCACTTAGCCGAGGACGAATAATGATCGAATCGCACCGTTTTGCGCATTTGGAACGTCGGTGAAGCACTAGTTTAGGGGCTTGGAGGACAAAGAGCATAAGTGCAGTTTTTTCTTTTTCGAGAAAAGCGTGTTTGAAGTTTCGAAATTACATGGTTCCATATGGCGGGAAGAAGTTTAAACTGATTTTTTGATGCTTATAATCGGAATTTGGGAGCACATTTTTCACAGCATATGTATCAAGACTAGTTTTACTTGAAATCATTACTATCTCGAATTGTTCGAGAACTGCACTTATGCGCCTTGTCCTCCAAGTCCTTCAATTGATATACATAGATCCAGGCAATTAAAATTGATGGCCGGTATAATTGACTGGAAATAAAGCTCCGACATTCGAGTTAATGTTTATGAGAGTTCAGTCATTAGATCAAAATTTTCGACTCGTAAAATTCTTGAGAATGCTGCATAATCCGAGGACGTTCCCTGATAAAATCTAAGGTCCGGACAAAATGACACACTCCAAGAAGTCGGGCGCAGTGGCGTGGCGTGCTTTGCGATATATCGATTGATCTGCCATTAGAGCCTATGTGAAAGGATCGATAAACGACAACAACAGCAACGACAGCTTAATAATCGATTCTTTACCATAGCTTCGAATGGGGAAGTATCGATAATCGATCATTCATGCCGCGCCACTGGTCGGTCGGTGCTTTTACGATAACGGGAATATAAGTATCATTAGTAAACTTATCAAGTATTTGGGAAAGAAGAACACGACAATAAAATCATCCTCAGGAATTGTATGTCTTTTTTACCCTGTATAAATTCATACAATTATCATTACTGAGATATTTCATACGACGGAATGTAATGTTGGTTAAGCGTAACCAACGAGCAAAAATTCCTCTATTGATTTTGTAACCACATGATTACATTAAATCATTCGATTAAAATAAATCCGGTCCTTGATAATCCTTACCCCCACCCCTTTACATTCATGTAGAGTTATAAATGTGAATGATTTCCAACGATAGCTGCATTTGTTCTCAATTGATTTGCTCCAAGTTTTTCAAAAACGCGAGAACAAATCTGCGGCAACACTGTTTTTCCTAGCTTTATAAATCCATTAAAAATATCGATTTTAGGTGAGGAGAGCTACCTCGCCATGAACCGATTATTTTACATATATGTACAAATCGAGGAAAACAGTGTTAGATGGAACATTCACTGAAAAAAAAGGGTCTAAAGTCCAGACTCTTGAAAAAATTGACAAGAAAAAATACTCTTGATTCAATCAGATTTTTGCTTAAATCAAAAGGAAATCCGCTCAAATTAAGAGGCTTGGTTCTTGATTTAAGCAAAAATCCGATTGAATCAAGAGTATTTTTTCTTGTTGATGTTTTTAAGAGTCTGGACTCTAGATCCAATGAGTTTTTTTTTTTCAGTGCTCTGTATTAGCATTGTGCAGAGTCAGAAATTCCATATTTTCACGTCTCCAAATGAAAGCTCTCGAGATGTCATCAATGATCGATTGTGCTATCGACCTGTAGGAAAAAATTATGGATCATGTCAATTTGTGACGCGAAGAAAAATTCAGCCGCGCTCTTGATACGGGGTTCATCGGAAGGATAACGGTTCAATTTAAGCGAAGCCGTGTAACGGGCGAACTGAGAAGGAATAAATCTTTTTTCAGGTAACGAGCGAGGCCGCCTGTCGGTTGGCCTGCGAAATCGAAAACGAATTCCTGTGCCGGTCGTTCCTGTACAAAGGCGCTCCCGTCGGCACGTCCTACAACTGTCAGCTCTTCCATCTGGACCACAAGACTTTGCCCGACGGCCCCTCGACTTTCCTCAACGCCGAGCGACCCTTGATCGACGACGGACAGAGGGTCGGATCTTATTTCGAGAACTACTGTGAAAGTGAGTACCTAATAACTAACTAAAGTAGAGAATTGCTCACAAAAATGTATTATTTTATCTGAGAGTGCTTACTGAAATGAGTTTGCGGTATTTTCCATACTTTTTTTCTGAAATGAAGAATGGAGATGTTGCATGTGTGAGGAATTTGTGATTTGACTGTTGATTTTAATGTAAAAGTTCGCAAGAAACACGATGGTGCCACTGGTTTTCTCTGAAATCAACTCCCAAGCTTAAAAAAAGCTTTCAACTTGAGGCCAAAATGGAGGGGATATCACTTCCTACCCTGAGAGTTCACGTCAAGACAAACTCTCCATGCAAAGATAGGGAGCAAATACATTGACAGGGCTGCCACTTTATTTGGGGACTCCAAAACTGAAAACACGGCAACCCTGTCAATGTATTTGCTCCCTATCTTTGCATGGAGAGTTTGTCTTGATGTAGAGGTGGACTCTCAGGATGGCGTGGGATATCCCCTCCATTTTGGCCTCAACTTGAGAGGTTTTTTTGAGCTTGGGAGTTGATTTCAGAGAAAACCAGTGGCACCATCGTGTTTCTTGTGAACTTTTACACTAGAATCAACAGTCAAATCGCAAATCCCTTACACATGCAACTTCTCCATTTGCACACAAAAATGTATTATTTTATCTGAGAGTGCTTAGTGAAATGAGTTTGAGGTATTTTCCATACTTTTTTTCTGAAATGAAAACTTGTTGGACAATGGATTTGAAAAGGAGAAAATGTGCCGCTTTGTGACGTCATCTGACGGCATTTCCCATTTAAAGGCTGGCATTTTAGCAGATTCGGTTATTTCTTTATATTTCTTTGTATTTCCGAATCTGAAATATTGAAGTGAGACGTTTAAATTATCCCGCTACTGTCTCGATCAATCGATACAACCGAGTTCTGCGATCAATCGACGTGTAAAAGTTTGAACGGGTAATACAATTGTTTAATTATTAATAATTACACAACAGTTAAATCAGATGAGCTTGGAATGAGCTCGGATTTTATGAATCTCCTCATTTGAAGTGCTCCGTGGTCTAGAAGTATCTGTACAGAAACGGACCATTTGAAGTATGCGAAAGGTCGCGATCGATATTTTTACTTGGATCAAACGGGTGAATCATACATCTACGTATATGTTGTTGTGGATTGATTGGAAGAAGCGATCATGCTTACGAATTGAATTGCTTAAAACTGGTGATCTCTATTTTGGTATTTTCTCCTGCTTCAGGTGCGCAGTAACACCGTGCTTGTATGAAAAATTAAGCATCAACTCATTGTCAGAATTAGATTAAGTGCAAAATCTAAGGGGCATTAATTTAAGTTGTTTGATTTAGCTCATTTAAACCGTGTTGCTTGTTGCAGAATCGTTAGGTGCTGCCCATGAAACGATACCAGTAGTATTTGAAACTACAGACGACCCAACGCTGAGTAATCTGACCAGAACAGACATCAACTGCGATAAAACTGGCACATGCTATGACGGTAAATTTTCTAATTTTCGTGCTACTTTCTTTCAAGTTTTATTTAATTCTATTGTTTTATCATTTTCTTTCATGAGCCCGTAATACGTACGATGTTGTGGAATTTATTTCTTATTTTTTTTAAGTCCAACATTGTTTTGTTGATTCAAACAAACATGTCATGTAATATATGGCAATTCTACATTTTTCTGAGTAGAATAAAACTTTATTTGGAAAAAAACAGCAATAAGAACTTTTCTTCAAAGATAATAGTTTTTCATACTCGTAATTGAAGAAAATTATTTAATACCATTTTTCCGTGCATGCCATGCAAGTATGCACAATACCATAAACTTCAAATGGGTGAATTATGTTCTCATAAATCCTGCATTTACTTAATTTTCAGTTTCTGTTCATTGCAAAGACACAAGAATAGCAGTGCAAGTACGAACGAATAAGCCATTCAATGGGAGAATATACGCATTAGGACGATCAGAAACTTGCAATATCGACGTCCTAAATAGTGATCTTTTCCGATTGGACCTTACGATGAGCGGACAAGATTGTAATACACAGTCAGTGGTAAGTAGGCGAAATATATCCAGAAAAATATAGGGCACACGCCGCAGGGATATCTTATAGGGTGGGCCTGGGCCCTGAGGGGGACCATCTCCCTCTTATTTGTAATGTGACTTTCCCTCTGAGAAATTTAGGTCAATTTTGACCTTGCGGCATTTTTCGAGTCTTTGGGCGGTTTGAGCTCCCCTAATTTGTTGTCAGCAGAAACCCGAAAGTCTGCAGCACTGTATTTTCTAAATTTAAATTCAGTGTAAATAATTAATTCTAGGCAAGGTCGTAGCCTGTTTTGATTCATATCAATTGTTCAACATGACTTTAAAAACTAGCGAAGACCAAAGTTGTCAACTTAAAAAAGATTTCGGCTGGCTGAAATGATGCTGATGACGTGCTTTTTTTAACATGAGTTATCTTCCAGGAATATGCAAAGTAAACATCGCATCTAACTTGTTGCTTTTATTCTGGAAAACTATTGGCTTCAAAAGAGTTGAGTACAATCTAGTAGAAGAAATATTTTTTAAAAAAACCAGCGTTACGTCAAAAATCACTCTTTTTGGTTCTTTTGACAGAAGTTTGAGAGACATGAGTTTCATTAATCGTAACTACAGAGTGCCCAGTTTTTTTTACGTGGTAAAAAAATTCATCTTCTCACCGATATTGATCAGGACCAGTTCCTCCATGATGTTTTCAAAAGGAAGGAGGAATCATAAATTATTCCACTCACTGACTTATAATTAATACTTTTATTAAGGTTCGATCCTGAGATTTATCCCTTGTTTTACCAAATCAGCAAGGGAGATGAAAAAATTCTGCGTTTAGATATGCTCTCGTAACGAAACATTCTGAAAATGCCTCGTTTTTTTCAGACGGGGGTGTTCTCAAATACTGTTGTCCTGCAGCACCACAGTGTTGTCATGACCAAAGCGGACAAAATTTACAAAGTCAAGTGCACGTATGACATGTCACCGAAGAACATCACCTTTGGAATGATGCCAATCAGGTAACTTGAATCCTCCTGATCTTTCTAACTTTACACGAGGGTAACATCAGAATGAAAGACAATCAGTGCACATGTCGTCAAAGACTGATTTAGTGACTACGCTGTTCGATATACGATACATCCGATGATAGACTGTCTCGATATCTATCGTTTTGCCGCGCTTTTTAAGGGTGACACCATTCATCATGATATACATCAAGTGACTTAGTCACACAATCAGTCTACTTTTCCTCATCTTGTCAAAATAGTCACATGAGAGTGTTGAAAGTGAATCGCCAAGAAGCACCGAGCATTTCGATCGCTCCACGTTGAGGGATCGAAATGTTAGCTCTAAATTAAAATTAACCACGGTAATAACGTTTTTTGTCTGCTGAAGCAGTTGTAAAACGCAATTTGACTCGCTTAGGGTATTGTTTTTTTTTTGATCTGCCAATTTAAAGTTGCCGTAACCAGTGTGCAATAAAAACGTTAATATCTCAGCTAGAAGTTGATTTCAGTAGTTTTTAATGCAAGAATCGTGTTCTACGTGAAATTCTGGGTGAGACGCATGTATTAGAGTGCTTAAATTCGTACCTTGTTTAAAAATCCGTTCAATCTAAAAAAGCGAACACAAGGAGCTTTCCTTACTTTTCTCGGAAAAAATATTTTATCGGGAGAAACGAGGCAACGTTGGAATGCTCATAGGGCGTCGAAACACATCATGGGTCTTTTAAGCCCCATTATTCAAAGCCGGGATTATCCTAACGCAAGTTCGAATAACCGCGCTGCACACAGTGCGGCTGGCCGTCCGTCACACTCATATCAGCGCCTGCAAGACTGAAGAAATACTTCACGCATTGCGCCAAACAGTGCGGTTGACTCGGACGCATATCAGCGCCTACAAGACTGCATGAATACCTCTCGCATTGCTCCAAACGCAATGCGAGGCTGTTTGTGTGATTTTGTTTTAAATCATTCCGGAAATTTCTCAGAAACTTCTAAAAAACTGTGTGTAGCTTTTTCTTCTATTTTTTAACAAAAATTAATTGAATATAAAACATGAATAGAGAAGTGTAACGTTGCAATTGGAGATAAGAACAATTTTTTCCGCGTGCAGGTGTCGATATTTGATTTTATTTCATTCAAACCATGATGATTAAAAATAAAAACATAAAAGTGGTGCATAACATTAGAATTAGAGACAAATACCTTTTCATCCGCGTGCATTCGTCGGCTTTTGAATCCATGCATATTCTCTTAAATAACTTAAACGTGGTTGTTCTACTATTTTTTGACTTGCAGTTTTTCCTCAGTGGTTGGCGGCCCCTAGTTCTAATACATTTCTTCATGAGACTTTTAGTCATGTTTGAGGATTGTCAGGGTTCCAAGCTCAGATTTGGGACGTGAAACCTAACTATTCAGCTGCTATAAATTCAGCGTGTGATTGCGGCATTTCGCAGAGGCGCGTCCGAATGAAGAATCGACAACAAGGGCCAGAGAGCACGGAATTGGCGCGTTTTATTATTATTATTATTATTATTATTATTATTATTATTTATTTATTTTTTTAAGGTTAGGCCTCAAGTGTGAGCGTCGGCTCTGATTATGAAGGAAGCGGTGAGTCATTGCTTCGGGTGCGGATGCGAATGGAAGCAATGGCAGCCCGCACCTCTCCAACTCCCGTTAGCGCGACTTCGGAGCCGGCTTCAATTGATTTACCGACGATGGCGATCCTGGGCAATAACAAACGCTATCCTCGGCGGCCGCTAAGTGCCCTTTGGGGTTGGGCCGCGGAAGACGCCCCTTCATATGAATACGGCCCCAGCGACACGTTTTCCCGCGCTCCAACCTCCGATTCGCGCTAAGGAAGAACGCCGTATGAACATTCGAGAGCTGCCAAATTTCCTATGATAAAACATGTATTTTTGACAACATTCATGCATATTTGGACCGCGTTAAACAGAAAGGAACCAAGCCACATCAGCTATTGCCATATTTAATCGGGCAATTAAATTTTTAACATGAAAACGATCGCGCGGATTTCCGTGCAAATTTCAGTGAAAAATCTCCACAGTTTCGAGAAAATTCCTTAAAAATTTCAAAGAAATCCGCACAAACGTTCTCTCGTAAAAAATTTAATCCCCCGGTTAAATTTGGCAAAAGCTGATGTGGCTTGGTTCCTTTCTGTTAAACTCGGTCCATTTTTCCTCGAAATTTTCCAGATATTTTAGATTAAATTGCGTACAAAATTGTCTGAAATTTTTGGAAAATAATTTTCAGAATTTTTCCAGTAAATTCGGTTTTTATTGGAGGTAACTTGGCAACGTCTGAAGGCTCATACGGCGTTTTTCCTTAGCATGGCAGTCCGACTCGCGCTATCTCGGCGATCATCTGTTCCGTTGCGGACGCTGCCGCAGCCCGCATCCCGCCTATCGCTACACGGATCTCTGGAGATTGCCTGCATTCCGTTTTGCCCGGCCGGACCGGGGAGGGGCCGTATGGTCCAAGCAAAAGCAAGGGCTAATCTTTGCAACTTCACTTGCTTTCGGAGGCGGGTTTTAATCACTCGACCGCCGCGCCGCGCGCATACCCTTCAACTTCCGTCATCGAAAAAGCCCAGTCATGTCCTACTCTGATTGGATGCTATGAAACCCTCTTTTTAGGTTGAGTGGAAGCGCCCTCTTGAGTTGAATGATTTAGTGGATGTGTCATCTGATGTAGATCACAATTCGATGGCTCCACTGTAAACAGATACATAACGTCAAAGTCTCACTGTCACCGGGTTGCTATAGAGCACAGTAGAGACCCTATACGAGTACACTGGAACGCCGCTGAGGTCAATCCTTGAACGGTGAATTTCTAGCCTCCTGTTCGCTGAAAACAAAAACCAAAAGTGGGAACGAAACGGAATTTTTTAATACTACGGCTTATGGAATTCCATAAGGTATTCTTAAGAATCGCTAGGCGCGAGTGGTTTTCGCGGTTTATTAATTTAAATCACCAGTTATTTTCGCAAATTTTGACAAATTATGCTGACAAAAGTCATGACAAGTACAAACACATCTGAAACTCTCCGGTTTTATGCATTAAATGTTATACCTACATTTGCTGAGCGAAGTCTGGAGCTGGATCCCGCGTCATACGGCCTCGCACATTGCCTGACGTTAGTCGCAGAAGCACTGGAAAAAAAATTAGCTTCAAAAATGACTTAATTGGCACTCCAACACGTGCTTAGCGACTCTATTGTGCTCCATGCAGGCTACTGTATGAAAAGCAGAACTCGGCTGTTTCAAAACCTTCAGGTGGAGTTTGATATCATATCTTATCATGAGTATGAGTTCTCGAATATATAACTATTCCTGCACGACTTTTTTGGCCCACTTCGATAACTGAAGACGGAACATAAAGGCGCGGAATTTTAATACAATCTTCGTATCAGTTCTCTCCCCTTTTAAATTTTCAATCAGAAATACCACAGCTGAAGACAAGATTGTACGTCCGTCAGTTTGTTTTTCTCTTGTAACTTTTTTTTTCAGATCACACATTTTAGAGATTTATCATTTGGGCATAAAACCTGGGCTGAATGAAAACGTTAAGTATTTGTTTTTCTTTTTCACAGGGATCCAGAAATGATAAGTATCACATCCGCTCCGGAAGCTCCACCTCCAAGGATACGCATCTTGGACGCAAGGAATCGGGAAGTCGAGACTGTCAGGATTGGTGACAAACTCACCTTCCGAATTGAGATCCCCGAAGACAGTGAGTATAAACCTCTAAAATCCTTATCCATGAATGTTTAATATGCAGAGCAACGAGCAATTTCAGTGGGTTGATTATTGAATTTATAGACAAAGCGATAGGCAAAGAAGACTTCTATTGAAGATGATGGAATCACTCACGATCAGTTTGAATGCATCATCAACGAGACGTTTAAAAAATTGCTCAAGATCTAAAAAAAAGTACTGTATATCTCTGAGTCATCTCCAGGATTTTGCTGATGAGTCGGTTGTGAAACAACCCTATGGGTTGAAAAGGGTGGTTCCGAGTTACTAAAGGAGAAAATGATGGACATAAACTGTAGGGCTCTTCGTGGGTCGCCGTTAATTAGTCCATCACCTACTTTCTTTGTCCATTGCAACCACCCGCTTCCACCATTAGGATCCCTCCATATCCACCGGTAAACATTTCATGACTTGAGATCGCCTTGACTCGTTACGGCGGCTAAAACCATCTACAAGATGCCTTTGAGATGTTCTTTGAATGAAATTGATCTTAAAGAGAAAGGTAAAATTTAGCGTGGCTCATATGGAAGGAGGGAGAGGGTATGCCCCTCTCCGAAATTTTTATCTTCTCAAGCGTATTTTTAAAGCAACTTCAAGAGAGAAACAAGCTCTAACTTTGTGTTTTTATCAGTTCGAAATTCTTATTTTTATCAAATTCTCCTAATTTAAATGATTTTGTACTCATTTTTAGTGGTCTGTGATCGCTACGATTGGTAGCTTGAAGATCGTCATTTCTTCCAACTCTCAAATTATCCTGATAAAAATCAGAGACATATCTGATTTTAAATCTAATTCTCATTTTTCTCTTCTAGCTCCATACGGAATATTTGCAAGGAGTTGCGTTGCAATGGCTAAAGATTCAAAAAGCACGTTCCAAATCATCGATGAAGAAGGGTAATTCAGTTTTTATTACTTTTGATCAATAAATTAAATTCCTGTAATCCATACAGAGATGTATCATAAGAAATTGTATGTTTCAATTTTTTTTAAACCTACTCCTCGGAAATGAGAGTTTTAAAATCTCGATAAGAATTTCACTCATAGGTTACAAGAGCTAATAGCAAGCATCAACCCGTTAAAACTAAAAAAAAGTGGGGTATTGTGAGAACAGATTTTGGCTCCGCTTTGAAAATCACCCTTGAAATTACCACAAACGAATTTCCATATAACGCCTGGATACAACTATTCGAGCCTCGTGGAAGTATTTGTTGCATACGCACCGATTTGAAGGCGTTTTAATTCTCCAGACACTCACCGCATCACCTGCGGCCCGCAGCGCGGCTGGCGGCGGGCAGTATTGCGAGGATCCAAAGTGACAGGGCACCCTCATTTCTTCGTTTATACTACACAGAAATCTCTATCATCATTTTTATCTCTAATATCATTTTACCTCCGAATTCACATAATTTTATATAAATGTTATATCCGTAGTCTCAGCAGTTTTAAGCGCTATTGGTAGGATCACGCTCACAGTCATTACTTACAGTTTTTATTTTAATGACCGTCAAAAATTTGTAACCCATTGAGAAGTCGCTCTATCTGTGACGTGTTACAGTGTAAGACTGTAAAAATGACAAGAAAACTCCGTGAGTAGTAAACACGATCATATTTATGTAATGAGGGTACTCAAGTGTGTATCAACGGATCTTTGACGAAAGTTTTTGAATTTTACCATTCCAGTTGCCCGGTGGACCCAAGTATCTTCCCTGCTTTCACTCCAGACGGAAATGCGATGCAATCTATTTACGAAGCTTTCAGGTTTACCGAGTCATATGGGGTGATTTTCCAATGCAACGTTAAATACTGCCTCGGACCCTGTGAGCCGGTAAGTTTCAGGCGTTTCAATTACCTTTCTTCTAACCCTGACCTTATTGTATTTTTGATACTTGCAGCAATGAAATCAACTGCATTTTTTAAAGTTGTATCATTTGTTTATCAGAGGCTGACCTGTTCCGAAATGAAGTTTTGAGCATTTTTTATTTGTTGTTGTAAGCCCATTCGCGCTTCACTTCTTCGCGGTAAAAATGGTCGGTTTACCGCTTAAGACAGGAGTCAATATCAGTCAAATTCAAGTTTTACTTTTGCTAATGTGTTATAGTATGAATTGATACCAACCGAATATGAATTATTTGCCGGTAGTTGTATACCAACGCAAGGGTGCGGTGAAGGACATCTGACAATAGATGTCTTCGGCAAAAGATTCGGAAATCCGGTGTTTTATTTCACAGGCGTTGAAATCAAGTTAAAAAACTTTATCCTGTGGATTGTCACTTATTAATTTTTGTCGAATCCAGGAGCTTATCTCGTCACCTTCCAGCCGAAGTATCACAAGTGCCATGCGACGTTTAAAGATTTTCGCCGTCCGCCGTCATTTTATTTTTTTACAGAGAAATTGTTCAACGAAGCTGGCCGAAAATTTCACTGAATTTTTTTTTGTGCTGCCGATAAAAATCAGTGAAATTTTCAAACATATTCAACCAAAAATTTATCAGTAAAAAAATAAAAGAAAGGCGGGAATTTTAAAACGCCGCATGAAGCTTTGTTATACTTTGGCCGGAAGGTAACGAAATGATGTACGCCCGCGCAAAGAGGAACCTAAGTTTGAACAAATTTTCGCCGTCATTTTACTTTTCTACAGAGAAATTGTTCAACGAAGCTGTCTAAAAATTTCACCGACTTGTCTTTGTGCCGCCGATAAAATTTATTGAAATTTTCAAACAGATTCAACCAACAATTTCTCTGTAAAAAATGAAATGGCGGCGGAAATATCGAAATGTCGCATGGCGCTTGTGATTCTTATACCGGAAAGTGACGAGATGTCCTAGGCGAAAAATTTGGAGATCCGGTGTTTTATCTGCTGGCGTTGAATCCCTTATCCTGTGGATGGTCACCTATTAATAGATCATATTCGATACATCAAACGGGTGAGATTGTATCGATATCGATTGGTTCAAAACATAAACATAGCCTTAAAAGTAAATTCAGAAATCTGAGAGAATGGATCTTTTGTAACAGATTTTTTATTCTTTTGAGTACCAAATGCCAATGCAAACTGAAATTGTCAGGAAATTTCTCATTTTCAGCTTTTCCAATTTAAATCCTTAAAGTTTGGTTTGAGGTTATGTTCTATTGTTTTGAACCAAACGATACATCGAACCGTTCTTGAATACGGTCTATTTTTTTCGAATCCAGGAGGTTATCTGAGTTTCCAAGGATTTCTGGGCCCCAATGTGCTGGAAAGTTGGATGCAGTTTTTATATTATGCTTTCCCTCTTGTATAAAATGAGTGATTGAATTTTCAAATGACTAATGATTACAGGCCGTCTGCGAATGGGGCCGAGAGTCTGTGGAATCTTGGGGGAGAAGGCGGAGGTCGATATCCGGATCCGGAGACGGAAGTAGCGGCGGCAACGACACGGAGTCGGCCGACGACATGACTCTCAGCCAGGAGATCCTCGTTCTCGACTTCGGCGACGACAAACAATCTCAGTTCCTTAAAAATAACGAGGCAGTCTTCTCCGACTTTTCCAAAGGTAAGCCACACTACTCTCTTCAAAGCTACGACAAAGCTTTCCTAATTGCCACTCTTCTGCAGCGAGGAGGATATTTCTGCCGTGATAGGGAAGAGAGCAGTACTGCACTGGAAAAAAAAAACCACATTGGATCTAGAGTCCAGACTCTTGAAAACATTGGCAAGAAAAAATACTTTTGATTCAATCAGATTTAAGCTTAAATCAAAAGGAAATCCGCTCCAATCAAGAGGCTTCGTTCTTGATTTAAGCAAAAATCCGATTGAATCGAGAGTCCTTTTTCTAGTCGATGTTTTCAACAGTCTGGACTCTAGATCCAATGTGTTTTTTTTCCAGTGTGCCGTGCTAGGGAAAAAGCTGTATGAAAATTCGAGAGTTGCCAAATTTCCTCTACTAAAATGTTTATTTTTGGAAAAATTTATGAATATTTTTTCCTGAAATTTTCATTCAGAGACTATGGTTGAAATCGAGAACAAAATTATCCGAAAAATTGGAGGAAATATTTTCATAATTATACCGGGTAAGTCGTGTTTTACCTAAAGAAATTTGGCAACGCCTGAATGTTCATACGGCGTTCTTCCTTAACACGGCAGAGTAAGGATAAAAATGAAGTTTTGAGAAAACGGGATCAGAAGCGTCTGACCAGAAAATTTTATTGATAGAAGCCCCCTTTCTCTGTAAAATTACCACTAATCACCCGAAAGACTCCTAGGAATCGTTTGGATGATTAAAAATGGACTAATTTTAATTCAATTACATAAAAAGGGTATTTTTCATTTTCATGCTGCGCCTAAAAATTGAAAGCGAAAGACCAATGTGCGTGATATCCAAACCTACTTTCTTCGCGTCGACTCCGGCTCAATCCTTAAATGCGAGGCCTTAACATTTTCGTCTGAACATTGTAAGACGGATGCATAAAAAAATAACAAATAATTTTAGTTATCATAGTGCAGTCAAGAACCATTTTATTTATTGGCGATCCCTAACCTTATGGACGTAATTGCCCTTCACAATACACTTTTGGCGGGTATAGATTCGATCGAGAAATGAAAACGTGAACCGATCGACACCAATGCGACCGATAAATGATTAAAAAATCGGCATCGTGTAATCGACATGAATCGATCGAGAAACAAAAACGTAAACCGATCGACGTAATTCGATCGATTCACGAGTTTGTTGATCGATAATCCAGGATTGCGCGAATGATCTAAGAAAATATATGGGAATTGCGCGAAAAAGGCACATGGATTGCGCAAATAGAAACCTTAATATCTGCTACAGGAATGCGCGAATTTCAAATGAAGTTAATTTAAGGTAGAAGTTTAGCAAGACAGGAAACAGTTGGAAAATAAACGCATTTTTGTGTCAACGCTAGTTAAGGTTAGTTTGTTGAAAAGTCATCGATATCTTACCTTCGGATGATAAATGAAGTGAAAATATTTAAAAATGGTCGTGGGTATAAAGAACTTTCTTAACTTTTCCCGGAAAAAATATTTAATTGGGAGAAATGAGGCAACGTGGGAATGCTCATACGGCGTCGAAACACACCATGCCTCCTGGCCTTTTGAGCCCTATTATTCGATGCAGCGATAATTCTAACGTGAGTTCGAATAATAGCGCCAAACACAATGCGGCCGGCGTTGAACGTATATTAGTGCCTTCAACACTGTAGGAATACTTCACGCATTGCGCCAAACAGCGCGGTCGGCGCGGCGCATAGCCCATATTAGCGCCTACAAGACTGCATGAATACTTCACGCATTGCGCCAAACGCAGTGCACTCGGTCAATTGGAGTGAAACGCATATTCCATTGTCAATCTAATGTTTCCATAGAAAGAATCCATTATACTTTATTTCGGCTTATTTAATATCTTATTATTTGAGCGTCTATTTATTTATTTTTCATAATCTCGTTCTCAATATTATTCCAGACGAGACCGTGACGATCGTCGAGCCGTGTCCAACGAAAACTTCCGTAATGGCGCTCGGGGTAACTTGCGCTATGCTCATCCTTGTCTATCTCAGCACACTGTCCTATTACTACACGAAAAAGTGGATGGTTCCGCGGAAGGTTCTCTCCTAATGCTTAGTCTCTCCTTAGGAAAAGTTTATTCGTAGCCATCATCTTTTTTGCCTCATCGTCACCGCTTGGTATCCAACTCTCCGCGTCAAAAGTTGGATTTGCTCTTTGGTGCGCAATTGTCCCTGCACAGCAGTGGGACGATTGTTTTCAAATCAAATGTTCTATTTCTTTTAGAAGAATATCGTCTAAATCCCGAGTCTTTTTGAGACTTTAGGTTCACCGTGTTTACACGACAGGTATGCTCTAAATCCCACAAAAGATGCACGGACAGTCAAGTTAATCTTGAATCGGGATGACCTGCACTAAAAGTGATTTTCCTAAATAATTCAAATCTCGTTGTCCTTACTTCATACCAAAGTGATTTTAATTAAGTCTCTATTTCTTCCTTTTTTTTTGTAAGTACTTGTTTACTATGAAGAGACACGTCTCAGAGAACTAGCACTCGGTCAAGGCTGACGAATATTTGCCTCCTCTGTCGTTTGGAAAATGTCATGAGGAACGAAAAATGTCTAATTTCTATCGAATTTATGTAATTTTTAGAGGTAAGATGTAATCTATTCCTATTTTTGTCTGATTGACATGCGTGAAGTAGTTGAATTGGAAGTTCGGACCAAGGTTATGTTCGTGGGTGTTTGCTGTGATAAAAGTTATGGTCTACTAGCAGTTCCTTTGGGTTATTATTCCTCATTATATTTTAATTAGATGATATAGTTTGAGATTTTGAGGCAAGAATTGATGTGTGTCAATCTAGTGCTCGGCCATCAACGCTTGGATGAGAATGGGTTTCTGCTTGAAGTGGTGCCCATGCGTAATCTTCATAGTAAACATGTAAATATTCACTAGTAGAATTTGTAAGTAGACACAAAGTTTACACGTAAGTATTTTCTAAAATTAAAGCTGCCGCTCATTGTAGTTATAAGATTCTTCCGCCTTGTTTTCAAAAAGGGATTCGCTTAAAGACTATTCATTATCTCAAAGATTTCAAAGTGCTATTTCACTTTGTTCACGGAAAGGTACTTATTTGGCAAATCTTATAGGATGACGTTTTATTTCGTGATTGTCTACTTGTGATTCAGAACGAATGTTTGAATTCACTTTTTGTAGTTGTATCAACTTTAGACGAACGCATATCAGACCTTTCCCACAAACATTATTTTTATCTGTTTTCGTCTCAGATGATACGGAAATAATTACGAGTTGGAAATCTACCGTTTTCAAATTCTCCATCACAGTACTTTTCTGTGAATGAATGAAGCTAGTTCTTGCGAATCCCTTTATAATGTCACAGACCAGAACTTGATTGCTAAGTTGGTTTCCCACCTAAGTTTAGGATAAAGGAAGTTGTTTTCATTCCCATTCAGTAACTTTGGTGGAATAGAATTGATTTCTTTGGTGGATTTTTGCTCAGTCTGAGTCCTAACAGATGTTCGGCAAAAGTGAAAAGCATTAATTGATAGATGGTGTTTTGAAATCTGTCAAATTCGATAAATTCAAATGCTATTCGATACTCGTGTAAGTAGATCTTTTAGCAATCACGTAATCCGTGACAAATTTTAGCTGGGTACCTATTTTATGAGATGCTGAATATATCTGTAAAATAGAACCAAAGAAATGTATGAGTAAATTAAATAGAAGGTGCTCCCCCTATTATATGCAATTTTACATTAAAAAGTTGGCTGTTGTACACACTTTACACGAATTTATGATCAGAGAATTAGAGGAAAAACGTGCCAAAAGTGATAAATTCACTGACACTAACTGAGCAACTTAACGGAATTAAATCATACAAGAAAAAAAAACGAAAAAAGCGAGGCGAGACTTCAAGAAAAGTTTTTAAATTATGGGATGACAAGTGTTTGACCTATACTGCAATATTTAAGACCGAGATAGGTCATTGTCTAGCTCCGGTCCGGTAAACCGGAAATTCCAGTCTCACCACCATTCGGAAAATCCGGTTCAATTTACCGACTGGATTCTTGCCATGGTCATGGTGACAAAGTTTTGTACGATGGACGGGTGTTATCCGACAGAGATATCTCATATTTGAGAGAATAGACGCATTTAATTAAATTTTCTTGCTTTCAGACATATTTTGACTTGCTAAGTGCCAAACAGCGCATTTCTCTATAAGAGAAAATGTAATTACAACTGTCTTTTCCCTCTGTTATAAGAAAAAATTCAGTCCGATATCCAGCATGACGTCACCATGGCCATTTACCTAGTTATATCTCATTCTATGGTTTCTCTACTTTGCAACATCCTTTTGAGACAGAAACAAAGAGACCCTTCACTGGCACTTTGACAATGGTGGAAGCTTTTACCTCCGGGATTCCAACATTCAACTTTTGACTTGCCTACTAGGCGGATAGTCAACAACGTGCTGAAAATATAATTTTGCTGACAAACCGAAGTTTGGGAAACCTTGACTCATTACGCCACCCGAAGCTCATCTTTCACCTAGTAGGTAAGATGACTGTTACTTCCTTGCAATTTTCCATGAGGAAGTGTTGAATCCCCGAAAGTAAAAGCCTCCACCTGTCGCCAAGAGATCAGTAGAGGGTCTCTTTGTCTCTGTTTTAAGAGCGGAAACCATCAGTAATCCATCAATCTGGGGTAATATGGCACAATTTGGGGGAAAACCTAGTGGAGGGAAGTAGAATTTCTGGCTGTGAATGCTCCCTGAGAAACCTAGTGAACAGTACTCTTGGTAGTGACAACCATACATCCGGAAGCTCCACTATGATGAATATTAGATGGCGGAATCTACAAGTAGTACTGACTTTTTGATTTCCCTCTGGAAGCATCCATAGCCAGGTGATCTGGTATCCACCAACAGGTTTTTATCCGTAGTCCGTAGAACTATTTATTTCATTGGAGGAAGAGTGCTGCCATGCTTGCCATTCATGTTCCTTTGCTTATCTGTGTTCTCTCCTCCTAATGATTTGAAACTCTGTATTGATGGTGACAGTTGAAAAACACGTACTCCAGTGGCGAGGTTTGGATTCCTCCGCTTTTGTTTTTCAAATAAAAAGGAAAGGAACATCACTGCTTGAAAAATTTAAGAAATAATCCGTATGAAATGAGAAAAATGCAATGAAAATTTCAAAAAATAATATTAATTGGTTTTCTATCGAAAACATAGTATATTACAAGGAATTTGCAACGTCGCGATTTGAGGTACGTGTTCTTCAATTTCACATCGATATATTTTATTAGTTCACAGTTCTTCGTTGATTTTTGCCGACTGTTCTTGAGTAAACTCGCGGTTTTAGTTTGAGTCTCTGAAGAGCAATCGTGCGTTCTGACTTACGATGAATCCTCAAGTCATGTAGGGTAGTATAATACTACATTTTGAACGCTACAGGGTGCGTCTAGGTAAATATTAATTCAATAAGTCAACTGTTTTTCTTTTTCCCCAAAATATGTAACAACTTAATTCTGGAAATTGAATGAAGTTTTTCGTAATTCCCATCTGTCTTACTTTTAGAGAGGAACGCCATTTTACAGGCACTCTATTAGGCTCACCAGTTTAGCTGCTATTCAGGTCGCACACCTAGCTGATGAAATATTAAGAAGGCGGTAAAATGGTACTGGATTCACACCATTTTTCGGGGTAAACAAAGCCAAACATTTCAAAAATGTCAATTAAAGTAAAAAGTGTTGAGTTCTAATGAGAACCAGGACAAGATTAAGGGGGGAGAAAGTTCAGCTCAGGCAGTTTGCATTGGGATATTAAGTTGAAGTCAATCCGAGAGATCTGCATCATTTTGGGTCTTTTTAGACCTCATCATTAGATCACACTCGCCTATGAACCCAACTTAGCATCCCACAAAATCCATTACAGCATCAAAACGCCGTCGTAAATTTTGGACTTTGCGGGACGCTATAAGTTGGGTTCACTGCCGACTGTAATCTACTGATGAGCGTTTTAGATCCCTCGGTGAGATCTCAACTCAATATTCCAATGCAAGCTGCCGGAGCTGAACACTTTACCCCCTCGATCTTATACTGGTGCTCGTTAGAGCTTCACATTTTCTACTCTAATTGATATTTCTGAACTTTTTGGATTGTTTTCCCCGTAAAATAGTGTGGATCCAGAGCCAATTTACCACCTTCTTACATTCAGTTCGGGCCACGTTTCATAGTGTTTTTTTCTCGTAAAATATTAAGTGTATATGTTTTTTAAAAGATATTGATTTAACGGCATCCCTCCATTTCAGGACTTTCATCCCAACGATAGTTTAAATTATTACTCATAAGCCGAATAATCCTAGTTTGTAAATAACTCAAAGTTTAGTGTTAGTATTCTTTTCATTAAGTCTAATAAAATGTGTGATGTTCAATTTACGAGGATCATTTGAACTGTGAAAAAATTAACATTGTTATGTTTTAGGTAATTTATTTATTTTATTCGTTAAATTGATGAAGATTCAATGAACTGATGCATTCAAATATATCGCATTTTGTACAAATTATACTCTCTGATTTATTGTATTTTTTCCTCCACATCTTTTTTAACCTGAAACTAATAATTTTTATAAGTTAATAACTAATTTTTTTTTGTCTACCCTTGTAAAAATTGGCGATAGGAGCTACGTTTCAAAATACCGTAGAAGTTCTTATAGCCGACTGAAGGAGGCGATTGAAAATCATACAGCTTGCTGTAGAAAGTGGAAAAAATTATACGGCCGGGCTACACGAAGCGATAAGAAATTATTCAACCGGGCTATAGTTCCTATCGCCGGGCTTTACACTTTATCGCCTGGCTGTTGCTTTTTCACCATCGGCTATAAAAGGCTATGAGAAATTGTGTAGAAATTCGTGTGATTTGTAAATCCTTAAGTTTGCACGGAATCATTTTAATATTAACAAAACGCACATTATATTTTCCTTTATTATAATACATATTTTTTTTTCATCAATTAAAATGAATATACATACAGAGTGTGCAAACATTTCAAAGTCATGAATTGAAAAAAGCAGACTCCACGAGATTGAATATTAGAGCCTAACACAAAGCGGAGCGGCGGCTCACTGGCGCCTACAAACCTAACAGGGATACTTCACGAATTGCGCAATGCGTGAAGTATCCCTGTTAGGTTTGTAGGCGCCAATGCGCGTTTCGCGCTGGCTGCCCGCCCGCCGCGCCGCGCTGCAGCGTACCACGGCGCTTGAAGCAACTATTTCACACCAGAGGTATTGCACAGTATCATACGAAATTGAAGGCGCTCCAACATATTAGGAATGGCAGGCATCCTTCAAAAGTACGGAGCTTTCCTCGCAAAATAAATCAAGATACTGCGGCCCAAAAAGAGAGCGGTAGTCCAAAAACTCACTAAGTCCTAGCATCTGTAATTAGTAACGTTTAGCATACACATTATCGCCCGCTGTTGCTTAATCGCCATCGGCTATAAAAGGCTATAAGAAATTGTGTTGCCGGCTATAGAAGCTATTGGAAATCTTACAGCCGGCTGTAGGTCTATGGTATTTTGGAACACAGATGCTACTGCCAATTTTTACCAGGGTATTGAATCGTCTATCAGTTTCAATGATCAACTCAATGATTCACGCAATAATTTTACATCTACATTGAATTAGTTGAATCCTGTCCAACCGCAGGAGAATCCAGACATTTGAATTGAGGGGGCAGAGAGGGGTCCAGGCGGCCTCCCCAAAAAATATTCGACTTTTTAATACATCTAGTATCAAACTCCGAAACCACGTACCTCGTTTGCGATTTTTTAAAAGTTCTGCTCCTATTTTATTTTTTTAAAGCAAGAAAAATCAACATCATTCCTTGAAATTTTCTCAGAATCTACATCGCACAAAGAAGAAAATTTCTGGACTTTTTTAAGGAATGACGTTGAGCAGTGCTTTTCTCAAAGCATGAAGTATGACAGGAGGTCTGCAACATCGCAAATCGAGATACATGGTTTGGAAGTTTCACCATAGATACATAGTTTGAGTCAGTTTCGTCATGAATAATTGGACCGAGTTCATCAGAAAGGAATCGACCAAAATTGTCGAAAAAATTGAGTTAAGAATGTATTTGAGTCCCTCTAGGTGTGTATTTTCTCCCACCAAAAACCCAAAGTCGAAGAAATAAATAAGTCTGTGGAAAGAGGGGTTAGAATATATTTTCTACAATGAGACTTATGGAGGATAATACATCAAATCTGTTTTTCTCAGTTTCAACCTGATGTGGGCTGGTTCCTTTCTGATAAACTCGGTTCAATTACCAAAATGGACCACTAGACAAGGTACGAATTTCAGCATTCTGATACATGTTTCGTAACCAAAATTTCACGTAAAATACGCCACGCACAACGAAAATTACCACAATTAGCTCCTTACGAAGATATTTAATGATTCTTGATGCGTTAATTCAAACCATCCGCTCGTGAAAACTCAATGCTCTACGTGATTCACATCGCTCGCTAAACGTTATTATGACAGTCTCTGCGATATAAAAATCTGGCAACCTCAATCTTGACGCTTGGCTCAGCTATAGCAAATTGCTTATAGTTTGAACAACACATGGTGGGAAATGAACATTGCTCGATTGAGAAGCTTGCTGAAACCGTTGTAGTGCACGGTTTGACTCACGTAGAGCTTTGAGTTTCTTGTGAGCGGGCAGTTCAAATTCTTCGTAACCAATGTGAAATAAAAATGTAAATATCTCCGTTGAGAGTTGGTTTCAGTAATTTTCGTTGCACGAATCGTGTTCTGCGTGAAATTCTGGTTATGAAACATGTATCAAAATGCTGCAATTCGTACCTTGTCTAGTGGTCCTTTCTGTCCTCTCCTTTTCTGTCTCTTTTTTTTTCGATAAAACGGGGGGGGGGGGGGNGATTCGCCTATGTCTACGAATGGGGGGTCAGGAACTCACCTCCAGCGCCAAAATCGATTGTGGGCAGGACGCCCGGAGGAGGTGCGCACTCGTAAGTGTTACTTCCTGGATCCGTCGTGTACAATACAGCATTTTTACCCACATAACTTGTCATCTTCTCTGTCAGCCACCGGTTATGGTCCTCGTCACATCGGAAATAATTCCCATACGCATTCTCGACCTGTTGTTGATGTAAAGTTGCATTACTTTAAAGGTGATTCGTCAAGCTCAAGTGACGTGGTCGAACTGGCATGCGATATATCGCATCGGTTAGGTCAAAAATCGCGGAAGATTTTGAATTGGACGTATTTCTGTCAAACGGAACTAAGCGCCAAATTGAGTTCCTTTTGAGGAATTTAGAATGCCGGATAGCGCGTTCTGTCAAACGGAACTAAGCGCCATGGAAAAGCATTGCGAGTATAGGACGGTATGAGCCCGACGCCCGATTCCGCCGCCAATCCAAGCCCCCCTCTACCTTTCTACCCCTATGGCGCTTAGTTCTGTTTGACAGAAATACGTCCAATTTAGTCAAAAAAAGGACGATAGCCCGGTCTGTGCATGAGCCTAAAGAATCATTCAAAACCCAAAAAATGGCAATATTCAGAGAAATGAAAGCAAAATAGTGTTTGGAGAAAACCTCGCATTCGATTCAGCTATCGATTTCTGTGTCGAATGCGAAGTTTTTTTCCGAGCACTATTCAGCTTTCATTTCTCTGAATTTTGCCAATTTTTGGGTTTCGAATGATTCTTCAGGCTCATGCACAGGCCGGGCTATCGTCCTTTCATTGGCCAAAATTTCAAAATTTGCCGAGATTTGTGACCCAATCGATGCGATAATCGCATGCCAGTTCGACCATGTCACTTGAGCTTGACGAATTACCTTAATGGATTTCATACTCTGAATGTAATACGGCAGATTGAAATTTTAAATAGCTTTTTCTCTCTACCTACTATCATCTTCAATCTGTAAACATCAAATGGCGTTACGTTCTGCCGCGCTATAAGGAAAGACTCCGTATGAACATTTGAAGTTTGCCAAATATTTGAATATTTTTCCGTAACATTTTTAGACTATTTATATAAAATCTTCGGTTGGCTGACATAAGGGCGTAACTACACATTGAGATGATCCCGGAAAAGCATCGATATGTATGGAAGACAGGGTTCATTACAGAGTGTAGTTACACCCTTATGTCAGGAAGGCGACAAAATTACGAGGAAAATTCTTTGAAAAATTGGAAGAAACATATCTACGAATTTCCCCGAAAACTTCTGATTTATCCAAGGAAATTTGGCAACGGCTGAGGGTTTATACGACGTTTTGCCTTAGCACGGCAGCGTTGTTCGTCGTGACAACTGAGATTCGTGTTTTGGTGAGGTGTGACTGACTATGCCCCGCCCCTCCTTTTTCAAGTTTTTCCCGCAACGAACGCGACGGGTATTTTGTCATCACCTCTTGGTCAACACCCAGACTCTTATCTCTCTTTTACTGCCGATTTCCTTTTCATCCGAGACTCTTTAAGAGAATCTTCTACGATGCCGCCGACCGGTCGCCAAACGGCCAGACAGGGATTCTGTCGAGCGGATGTTCGGCATATCTGGCCACCCCTCCCCCCCACCACCACCTCCTTACCAGGGACTGATCGGAGACGTTACGTGAAACGTCTAAGGCAGTCTGGTGGGTGAAATCGGAGGTGACGGTTCAGACCTCTACAGTGGCTTGTGATTTTAAGGAATTAATTTTTCTGTCAAGTTCGGTAGATCCTCGCTGTTATAATTTTGAAACGCATTATTCTGTCCAAATTCCACAGTTTGTTGAGTTTCTTCAAAGTTGAAAGTAAATGTCACTCGCATTCGTCGTCATTGAATGCGCTTTCGGTCGCTCGTTTTCCCGGATACTAAAATGATAGTTGGTTCGAGGATGGCATTTTGGAAGTCAGTTTGTTCGTATGTAAATCACTCCGTGTTTTTGGTAAGTCGGTTGCTCATATCATCAAAAATTGACCTGCGTTGGGTGCAGAAAGGGTATTCCTTGGTTGCTGTACTTTAGAATCTCCATTGTTAGTTTATATTTAAGAGAGGAAACTATTATTGAGAGAATTCTCTAAAATTTTTAGTTTTCAGCATTGTAAAATTGTAAAAGTAATCTAATAAAAATTTTAATGAATTTCTTACGTTTCCTTTAGTTATAGTGGCTGAAGTGTTAGGTAACACAGGCCCCGAGACATCGCAACCAAGAAATGCCCTTTTTTCAATTTTCCTTTTCAGTAAAGAAATGTTTTTACGCACAGAATCGCCTGACTGAAGAAGGGGCGATTGTTTCTTTTGATTTCCTCGAGATTTTTTCTTTAATCCTGAAATTTTCGCAATCGGTGGCTTTACTGTTTTGTCACTGTATGAGTTATCGACAAACTTTTTTCCTGATACTTTTATGATATTTGATTTGGGGATATCGTTTTGATAGTAATTTATATTCTTACCTGTACTCCCTTAATGTTCATTTGATACGTCAATTGTCTGAATCGCAAAATACTTTAACAATTTAAAACTAGATGTGACCATCTACAACCTCTGACTTATGAAGCTTGAAAGATGGGGTGGGGAGGGGGTCTTTTGATTTTTCCTTTTCCAATCTTATGGGATGATACAGTAATTATTTGAACTTTTTAATTTGAGATTCGTTTTGATTTTCTTCGATAATTTTTAAACCTTAGACTCTAAAGGCCCTTTTCAGGAAGATCGCAGTGTTTTGATGAAGAACGACCCTTTAGAAAAAAATCGCCTTTAACTCGCAGCAAAAAATTATTGGCGGCTAAACCGCAAAAAATTGCAGTTTCATTGCCTTAAATAGCAACATTATTCCGATATTTTCGTTGCTGTATGCTACTTGGAAATATTACACACCCACTTTCCAAATTTTCCGTAAAGACGGTAATAGACTGTGACGTTGAATGTCTTAAAATATATTAACTAACGAACTAACTACATTAAACGATTTACAATAAGTTGGATTCATCTCTTAAGGCATTTAATCATTCCTTTTACAGTAAATATTTTCTGGTCTCGGCAACATTTGACAAGGCGGTGCTGGAAGAGAGAAAATGTTTACTCAGCATCAGAGCTGTTCCTGACTTTACAGATCATCCCTTCATCACGGTAAGATCTTCCTTACTCTTTCCTGCCTCCATAGAATTAATCATGAATGGGTAGACCATTGTCGATTTTTTTCAATTTTTGAAGTGAGCTGTCGAAGTATCCTTCCTCAAAGGCCGACCATGAATTACGTAACACACTTTTTTGCGGCATTTTTGACCCTCTCCCCCTCTCCCCTCTTGTGACGCTTTGGTGACGTAGGTACCTTTCCTTTAACACGTGAAAAAAAATGGCTTAACGCTCTCTTCGACACCCCCCCCCATACTGCCGTGCTAAGGAAGAGCGCCGTATGAACATTCGAGGGTTGTCACATTTCCTTCGGCAAAAACTTTTATTTTTAAAGAGAATTCTGAATATTTTCTCGGAAAATTGTCGGAAAATTCAGAGCTTTTTGCGATTAATATTCTCCGAAAAATTTGAAGAATAATGTTCACGGATTGCCCTGAAGAATTGTATTTCATCAAGGAAAATTAGGCAACGTCTAAGGGCTCATACGGCGCGGCGTTCTTCCGTAGCATGACACTATAGCAGTACGTATTTAATGGACGGCCCCTCACCGCTGATTGTCGCAGTCGTCATTTTTTATGTAAAATCAGCCTAACTATATTTCAAGTTGTCTAGTTCCCTCTGATAGACTGTTTTTGAAATACCGAAAACAGACTGTTTTTGAAATACCGAAAACAGACTGTTTTTGAAATACCGAAAACCAAGGAGTATATATAGCCTTGAAACTTTCTGAGGGATACTTTTTAGATTCTGCGGAATTAATGTACACTCACTGAATTCAACGGCAGGATTCAGCTTTATTTTTTGTCAAATATAATATTAAGACGCAGCCCCTTTTGAATTACGTAATGCTGGCCTCACCCCCCCCCCTCCAATTTTCAAAATATCAGGAAACTCTGACAAAACATCTTGAAAAAATTCGGGTTTTTTGGAGATATTTCGCTGAAATACAACGGCAAGAGATCAACAAGAGGTGTGAAGAAAGGGTCACGCGTAGAAAATATTCATTCGGGAAGGGCGGGATTTTCAATTATCTGCACGTTGTTTTTAAAGTCCCCCCCGCCCCCGGCTCGAATTTGTCATGTAACGCTGAACTTGACCCTTCCCCCATGTAACACAACGTTACGCTGGCGTAACCCCTCCCTCNCCCCCCTAAGTTTGTTACGTAATTCTTAAATGGCCCCTAAAGTATTCCATGGTAGTTTCCCGCTTAAAGATTTTGGGGTTGCGGGTTTTTACAGATTTTGTTGAGGCCACCCGTGCTGTAAAATAGGTTGTCTCCAGGTTCTTTCCAGCCTCCCCCTCCCCCTCTATGTCGCAACGCTGGGCAGTTGGAAAAATCAGGTCCTTTTTTTCCGTCTGATCGCGTCGGTGTCGTCTAAAAGAGAGCCAGACAGCTTGTTTTGCGTAGGAAATCTAGATAGACGACAGAGTCTAGACAGGGTAACAATGGAACCGGCCTGAAACGGCAGGTGGAGCAGCCAAAATTGGTTTCTCGAAACTTCGGAACGGTTACATAAGAGAGAGCGACAAAGAGACTTATCGGTTTCCCGTCGGAAGAAGTGTCTCTGAAACGGCAAGGGTAGGAGGGCCGGGCCCCCCCCCCCCCCCCCC